AATGAGCTCTTGTTCTAAAATTTTGGATAAATTTGTTTTCTTCCCCATCTAGAAGCGTTTGAAAGGGAACTGACATTGATTCTAGCCACTCCAACCGTTATCAAAATGCCTGACAGCAAATCCCGAATCAATCACTCTAGAGTCTAAACTTGGCAGACAAAAGAAAAATGAGGAGGAACTCAATAGAGGGATGCTTTTGGAAGCCCTTGTCAAGAAATCCCAGTGGACTCTCATACGAACATTTGAAAATTGCCCTGTTCTGACTTTTTTCTAGTTCCCTGTTTAGAACTTGTAATGCTAATTATTTCTCCTTCACATCTCCTAATCAGGATTCAAGGGCTTTCTTTTCCCCCTACAGATAAGAGTTATGCAATTTTGGAGTCTTTTAGATAGACCCACTGAAGGGGTACTCCAATTGCCTCACCCTGTGTCTCTGTTCAGCATGGAAGAGGCCAGAGTGGTCTGTATCCCAATTCCCTATCCACAAGCTGTGTTACCTCTTCAGAGGATGGTGTGATAAGAATAGGAGGTAGAAATTGGCTAGGCAATTAGGGGAAAAGACCCCAAAGTAAAGTAACCCGTTTCTTACAATGGTGGACCTCTTAGCAACATACTCTGTTCCAAAAGGCCAAAAATGTTGAATGTATTTGGGAGCTTTTATCTAATCCTTCAATGATGTTAGGGTTACCTCTTCAGATGGGGGAATGTTAGAGTAGCCAAAAGCCCCATAAAAAATAATAATAAAAGAAGAAGAAAGACCACATGGGAAAAAAGAAAGAAACAGAGGATCTTATCAGAAAAGAAGTATTCTCAAGATATGTGAACCGATATTTTAGGACCACCTTCTCTTTTCCAACATAATCTTTACAGAATTGTAGATAAGACTGGGAGTCCTAGATTTAGCTTGCTATTATCTTTCAGAGTGATTATATAATGAATTAATACATGTAAATAACTCAGTGTAGAACTTGTTCCATAATATATGTTAAAATATCTGCTTTTACTAAAATAAAATAAAATAAAATAATACAAATAAAAAAGTAAACCCTATCTTTGTCATATCCCTGGACAAATGAAATTTTTTACGTTATACTAAATACAGATCTTTTTATTTATAGAGAAGTATACTGTATAACACTCATCAAAGAAGCTTTTTTGCCACAGATGGTAGTTATCACAAAGTTCTACACCTGGTCACATGCAGAGAATATATGCCTGAGAGATGCCCAACCCTAAGTGGCACATCTACAGTGGAACCCCTATACCTAAAGCTTATGGAACATAGCAGAACAGGGGGTAGAGAAAATTCTAATGCATCCCTTAACTCTCACCAGCAAGCGTCCTCATGCAACAGAATGCAATGCACACAGAAGACCACAACTGGCTAAGTTTTGGAGAACAAGAGACTGCAGAGTGTGTGTCACTGGATAGGATTCCTATATTAAAACTTACCCACCTACTATTCAGCAACCATTGCAGGAGAGGGACTGGAAAGATTGTAAGAGCCAGGGCTAGTGCATGAACATAAGGAAACAAGCTTTCAGGTCACTGGAAACTTGCTCATATGAACTTTCAACAATGGTGACAGCATGGGCAAAACACATGCTAACTCCAACAGACAAAAACCCAGCAAGAACAAGGGAAATGGGCAGCAGGCCCCATCCCTAATCAAAGAACTATTAGCAACTGATTGCTGCTGGGTGAGAAAGAGTAGAGCTTCATTAAGTGAGTGACTCTAGATAGGCTGACTAAACTCTAGTGGATAAACTTGCACCAAAGGACAACTGGATACAAATGCTTGGCCAGTAACTCCAACAGACAAAAACCCAGCAAGAACAAGGGAAATGGGCAGCAGGCCCCATCCCTAATCAAAGAACTATTAGCAACTGATTGCTGCTGGGTGAGAAAGAGTAGATCTTCATTAAGTGAGTGACTCTAGATAGGCTGACTAAACTCCAGTGGATAAACTTGCACCAAAGGACAACTGGATACAAATGCTTGGCCAAATAGGACTTAACTTATATAATAAAAGGCATGGTATCCAGTTGGGGGGAGGCGTAGGGATATGGGTGTATAGATGGGAGGGGGTCTTAATTTTATTACAATCTATTATATGATGAGCCCTAACGGAGGTGAAGGTTATGTGGTCAAACTCTGTAGCCCTCTGTGGTTCTGATGAATTGCAGCTGGACAAAACTTCTGTTCCAATTGCACAATTCATGATGGCGGCTCAGGTGTTCATTTACACTAGAGAAGGCAGGGAGAGTGTTGAGGCTTTTGTTGAACTTGAGTCAGAAGATGCTGTAAAATTGGCTCTTTTTGGGAGAGACCTCAGCAATTGTCTCTCAGGAGTGTA